CTGTGGGCCTGGGCCAGCTGCCCCTGCCGCCCATCCCGCATGTGTTCACGGCCGGTGCCAGCACCGCCATCCTGCCGCACTTTCACCACGCCTTCAGATGACTGGCCGCCGGCTCAGGGGAGCACCGCGTCCCTTACTCCGGAACTGCTCACCAAAGGCATTTTCTAAAGCGAGGGAAGCTTTGGGAGACAGGACTAGGGAAATGGCTTTTGGGGTGATGTCTGACTTGAGAGAATTCTCTATCTGCATGTATTGTGCCAATCTGTCCCGAGTGTTCAAGCTTTGTACCAAATTTAACCAGTGCGTGTTCTTGAATTGAACCGCGAATACTGTCGTAACCAACATCCAAACCACAGCTGCTATGTGTAAGTGTTCGTCATAAGCCATGATCGTGATAATGTTAACTAAGTAACTTTATGTGGCACCGCCTAGTAAGGGAACCATGGGAGCATCGGAGTTTCTCCGCATTGGGAGAAGTTTTAGAAAGAAGAATATGACATTTATACAGCGTATTACAACTAGGCTGTGTATTTCTTTTCAGGGACTTTTCTACCTTCAGGGTTGGATGTAGTTTAGTTACTATTACCATAGCCAACCTGTAGTTTTACACTCTTCGTGAGAAACAACTCTTTGTGGGACAACAGATTTCTCCATTTAAAAAAAGTAAAGCATTTTAAATGTAGTTTGAATATTTTCCACATGATGCTGCAACGTGAGTTATCACTTCATTTATCTTAAAGACAAAACTGATGTCAGTTACATCTGACAGAAAAAAAATCACTGTGTAACCAGGTAAAGTGGTAAAATAATCCAGGCGTCAGTCAAAGAGGCATTTGCTGACTATAATACTGATTATATTTTTAACAGGAATTTAAGAGAATATTACTGGAATTATATATATATATACATATATATATATATATATATGTATGTATTAAGAATTTTCTTTGCCTAGCTTACTCAAGCTGCTTAAATTCCTAAATATTGTTTCTAATCGCTAATAGCTACATTTGTAATTCATCAGTTAAGTCATTAGCTTTTTAAAAGAGGATTACATTTTGCAATGTAATTATCTAATCTCTCTTGAAATGGTATCTTGTTAATGAGTTTTTAAAATGTAAAACCTTTTTACAGTCTTTGTCTTTTGTTTTTAGAGGCTTTCTTTTCCACAAACATATTTACGTATAATAAACTTTACATATCTTGCAATCTGGCTCGATCAATTTTTCATATAGCTAATGCCTGTTGAGAAAAAAAAAGTTCCCAGCTCCCTTGCGCCCCCTCCTGGCCATTACTGTACGCACAAAAACCACTGTGACAGAAACTGCTTTTTGAGTCCAACCGTTATGATTTAAGGCTTACATGCCTCAATTCAAAATGCTAAGGACTTATTTCTAAAAATAACATTTAAATTCGGGGTCCTTCTATAACATACATAACATATTTCTGATGTATATAGGTCAGAATACTATCTACCCTTGGCCACCGTGATCCAGTTTTAAACTTTACTTTTAATTTCTCGTACAAATTAGAAATATACTCACTGTTAGAATTTCTTTAGAAAGTACTGTGGCCCTTCAGTCTGACAAGGCTGTTTTTAACTCTAGGGTGAAGGTGCGTAGAGAAAAGGAAGCACGGAATTCATTTGCATATCCAGGAATCCTGTCAGTACCTTCTACCTGTTGAGAAACCAAGGTCTCTGCACCGCCCCACAGGCAATGATTGGAGACTGAGCTGAAGCTACAGGAATTGACCTAGAGAAATTAAACTGTGAGATCCAACTCTCAGACCAGAGTCTTAAACTACCACTTAGGGGAAAATGACACCATATGAGATAGCATAGCTCCGTGGAGGGAACCCGCTGTCCTAGGTGTCCACAGTGGTTCCATTCTTCCTTGATCCAGTGGGGCGGAAGGGAGTCACCCAGGGTTAGGTCCTGGCGAGAAGGCACACATATTCCTACATGGCTTAAGACAGTCTCTTTAGTCAGTTCCAGAACACAGACCTGACTTTCCTGACATAAAACAGTGGCGTTTGGTTCCCAAGATACAGGTCACAAGAATTTCAGATGAATTCAGCCTGCAGTTCTCACTGAAATTTAGACAGCATGGCTTAATTTTCCCAGTTAAAAGTCTCTGATTAAGAAAAAGGTTTCGGACTAAAACGTCTGATGTGCGCATAAATGGCCCTACAAAAAGAAGTTTATTCACCTTTAAGATGGTGGAAAGATGGATGAATTGACTCACCACCTCCCAACAGAGGTGTGTAAACCAGTGTTTATATGTAACACAGCGGGCTGTTTATCACCGAACATCCTGAAAGATTCGCCAGCCCTGGTCCCATGAACAGGTGGCTGTTGTTTAGGCCATGAGAGGTAAATGACAGGCCCTGAGCACATTCTCCCCTGGGGTGAGAGGTTTCTGTAAGCTTTCTTCCCCCTCTTTGGGTTCCCCCAAAATATGATGACTGGTCTTTGTGAGACAGTTCTACACGGTGCATAGAGGAACACTGAAAACAGGAATAGTTACGAATAATGGCTCGATACTGGGTGCAAATGTCAAAGCTGGGATCTCACAGCTTCATGTAGTACTAGTAATATTAATAAAATATAAAAATGCCTTCTATGAAAAATAAAACAATCTCATAACCTAATAGAGACTAACACAGTTAATACACCATATATCATAATCTTAAAAGAATGGCCAAAATGTTACTGAGTACAAGCTATAGACAAAAAAGACTTGTTCTTACAAAAAAAGAAACATCAAAGTACAAAACTTTCTCTTCAAACTAAGAGAGATTAGTGGTATCAATGAAACAAATTGGCATACGTATCAAATAGGTTTTAGCATATTTTAGTTCATTAGTACATGTATATACTAGGTAATCTTTACATTCCTTGTGAGAAGCTGGTACATGTGATGTCTGTTACTTCTTCATTGCTGGAACAAAATACCCAACACCCTTAAATTAAAGGAGAAGAGATATATTTTAGCTCACAGTTTGTAGAGGTTTCAAGTCTGGCTTCAAGGCAGAGCAGCACAGCAGACGGGCACAGCAGAGAAGAAACAGTCCATGGCAGAGCAGGCAAAAAGAAGCAAGCCTTCCTTCCCCTATTAGACCTTTCAGACTATAGGCCTGTTGGATGGTGCCAGCCACACCCAAGGCGGGCTTTCCCATTATCCACACCCACAGCTATGCTAAACCAGTGGACTAATTGCGACAAAACCCTTAACCTATTTCATACCCACTATGGAGCCCCCTCTGAAAAGCTCCATCTATGAGCACAGAGGTTTTGGGGGAACATCTTGCTATAAGCCATAACACGTATAAACGTATCTTAATTCCTTTTCATTCTCTTTCCTCTCCCCCCCTCCACCCATTCTTTCCTTTTATTATTTTTTGTACGTTTGCAGTAGGTAATGTTTACATTCCTTGTGTGGAGTTGGTACATGTACATAAAGCATCTCAATTCCTTTTTTATTCTTTATCCCTCCCTTCCCTCTGCCATCCCTCCATCTCTGATCCCCTTCCCCTTTGAGAAAGCTCTATCTCCCTGCTTCCGATTATCTATCTTTAATTTTGCTCCTTACTTTTACTCTGGGTTTCTCATACAAAAAAAAACCATGTGCTATTTATTTAAGCTTTTGTGTCTGATTTATCTCACTTACCATTATGGTCTCAATTTGCATCCATTTGTCCATGAATTCTTCAAGTTTATCTATGGCAGAGCAGTATTCCATTCTGTATAAATACCATCTGTACGAATACCATTCTGTATATTTATTCATTTACCTATTGATGACATATAGACTAAGATCTAGCTATTTATAAATTGTGCTGCTATAAACATGAGATGCATCATGTATCCCTGTTATGTGATAATTTTAACTCTTTTGGGAAGATACCTAGAAGAAAAATGGCTGATATCAAGTGGAATTTGTTTTTAGTTTTTTTGAGGAATCTCCATATTGATTTCTTTAGTGTTTGTACTAGTTTACACTCTCACTGACAATGTAGAAGAGTTCTCTTTTCTCCACATTTTCACTAGCATTTCTTGACTTTTTTTTATGATATCCATTCTTCTGGGGTAAAATGGTATCACAGCATAGTTTTCATTGGCATTTCTTTTATAGCCAATGATGTTAAACATTTTTTCACGTATTTATTGGCTATGTGTACTTCTGAGAAGTGTCTGTTCATTTCAGTTGTCCATTTTTACTGGCTCTTTTATTTTTGGGAGTTAATTCTTTTAGCTCTTTATATATTCTAAATATTAGTTCGCCCATCTATGGACTAGCTGGCAAATATGTTTTCCATTCTGTAGGCTGTTTCTTTACTGGTTGTTTATTTTGCCATGCAGAGAAGCTTTTTAATTTGATAGGATCCCATTTGTTGATTTTTGGTACTATTGCTTGTGCCATTGGGGTTCTGTTCAAAAGTCCTTGCCCACAACGATACAGTATCTTCAAGAACTTTACCTATTTTCTCTTCCAGCAGATTGTTTTAATATTTGTTTCTCTGTTCCATTTTGATTTTAGTTTAGCCCATGGTGAGAGACTTAAGTCTTCTGCATGTGGATATCCAATTTTCCCAGCACCATTTATTAAAAAGCTGTCTTTGTCGGAAGTGGTGGCGCACACCCTCCTGTTTCTTTTCACTTTTGAACTGTGGTAACTAGAAAGATTTTTAATCACACAAGGCTTACATGACATTTTTGCTAGACAGAGCTATTCTTCATTCTTCAGAGCTCAGCATGAGTGAACCTCCTTCAAGATGTCCCTGGTTTTACAGCATGGTAATGATCTCTTTTCAGAAATGTGGTGGCGCACACCCGTAATCCCAGCACTCAGGAGGCTGAGGCAGAAGGATCGCTGTGAGTTCGAGACCAGCCTGGGCTACATAGTGAGTTCCAGGTCAGTCTCAACTACGTAGTGAGCCCCTGTCTCAAAAAAAAAAAAAAAAAAAAAAAAAAAAAAATCCAAAAAAAGGCTGTCTTTGCTCTAGTGTTTTTGGCCCCTTTGTTTCACAGCTTATTTTATGTAGACTAAAACTCGTTAAAATCCAATATTCCTAAGTAAATAATGCTGGTACTCCAGTGAACAGTTCACAAAAAGTTTCAAATATTGAAGCAGCATTGCCCTTACATGCCTTTGAAATGTCCAACTTTAAAAAGAAACACTTCAGCTGAACCTTTAAATCAGATAACGTAAGCAAAAGGTTGATGTATTTAATAACTTTGTTTCAAAAAGGAATAAGGAGGAAAACTGAAGTTTGGAGTGGAGGCTGGAAAAGACCGACACTTCCGCTCCTCCTTCCCCTCCTCTTCCTGGGTAGGGCTACCCGGCTTCGGTGTTTCAGGGAGCCGGCCTGAAAGCAGAAAGGCCACTGTTTTAGAACTTCACTGTATCCTGCTAGAAAACAGGCTTCCTTAGATCAATAAGTGCATTACAGACAATTCTCAGTCTCAGACAACTGTCCTTTGGTGGGGGTGGTTTAGAAGAAGAGACAAGGCAGGAACTCGAAGAGAAAGGAATTATTCCCTTTCCGATTGTGAATCCAAAACTAACCATCTTTTCAAACTGTATGTATAACAAAACAATTTTCTTTTCTTTTTGTAGTGCTGGAGATTAAGCCCAGGGCCTCTGTACTGAGCTGTGTCTACCAGTCTTTCTTTTCTCTCTTTCCCTTCTTCCTTTTTTCCCTTTCTTCCTCCTTCTCTTTACTCTTTCCTTTCCTTCCTCTCTTTCCTTCTTTCCTCTTTTTCTTTTCTTTCTTTCCTCCCTTCTGTCCTTCCTTTCCTTCCCTTCCCTTCTCTCTTTCTTTCACAGGCTCTTGCTAAGCTGATAAATTGACCAGGCTAGGCTTGAATTTCCAATACTCCTGCCTCAGCCTCCTAGAGCGCTAGAATTTCAAGTGTGACCCCTGCACCCAGAATTAGCGAGACAGTTTTAAGAGTATATATATTTTGTTACTCCAATTCAAGGTTTTCCTGCTAAGGACCGTTTCTCTCAAAGGTTTAGTAACTTTACCTGCTTATAGGATCAGCAGCACCTGCATTAGGGGTGGGATTTTTTTTTTTTTTTTCTTACCTGGTTTCTAGGAGTTAGTCTTTTTTAGAAGATTTACTAAATCCTTGTCTGTTTGCTCCAGAAGCAGGGTCCATGGCTGATCCTTTGCAAACATAAATGTATTTCTTGTTATGTCAAAGCAGAATGTTCCCAATGGGGGGATGTGTATGGCTGTGAAATCCTCACATTGGATTCCAACTTTGTTTTTTCTTGTTTTGTTATAGCTATAGACGAATATCCACTCTCCAGTTTAGGACAAATAATAGGGAAAACGAGCACTGTCTCGGGTGATTTTCCCCACTGCCCTGTAGCTCTCTGTTCATCCATGAGTTCACACTGCCACCTCGAGTGACCCACTATTCATACAATATAACCTCAACGTTCTTCCCCACTCCTGTCCATGTTTTGAAAATGTACACTGAGTATTTCACGTCGTCTTCATGATTATTTGCCAGCTCTCACACCAGAAAGGGTCCAATAAGCCATAGGGAGCATATGTTGCCTTCCCTCCCAGGGATTATGTCTGTCACAGTGAACTCATTTTGCAAGCAGTACTCTTGGCCTTTGCACAGCAAAACCGCTATGAAGATGTAGGAGGCTCGAGATAGGAGCACACTAGTACTGTGGTCTGGTTTTGCTCACATGATTGGGAAGGATTCTCAGAAAAGCCATTCTTTGTAGAAATAAACAAGTTCTCTCTAGCCTGGTGGCCTCCTTCTTAATATTCAGTGTTTGATAAAGAGGTAGCAACAAAAAAATTGTGAATCAAAAAGCCAAAGGATGTGGGAATAAAAGAACATTTGGTGTTTATTTCACTCAAAGATAACACAAGTTTTCCTTCTGCCAAAGAATAAACAATGGACACTTTGAGCTTCATTACATTTGCTACACAACTCAATTAGGTAAGCAAAGGATGCTAGCACAGGTAAATGCTTAACTTTATAAAAGCAGAGCCTACAGCAGCAAAACTATAAAAGGCAATTTACTAACTCTCTGAAGCAACACAGTATAGATCCCAGGACTACATGTGCACAGTAGCTTTTGTTTCTACATAAAGATGAAGAGAAGAAACTTGGCAGTAGCATGTTTCTAGTGTATCAGTTGCTCTCACTCAAAAATCTCAAGAAAAGTCACCAGTAACTTGCTGTCTTTATTACTTTCTCGTTGTGAGACAAAATATCAGACACCGATAAGTTAAAGGAGGAACAGCTTATTTTAGCTTACAGTTTGTGTCCATATTTGGTTCCAAGGCAGGGCAGAATAGCAGAGGGCATGGGCATGGCAGAGGAGAAGCAGTCCATGGCAGGGCAGGCAGGAGGCAGCGAGCCTTTCTTCTTTGCGTTTTTATTCCACCCAGGCTATAAGCCTATTGGTTGGTGACACCCACACTCAGAACTATGCTTAAGCCAACCGTTAGACTGATCCAGTATCACACACCCATGACCCAGATACTCCTAAAAGCCCCACCTATGAGCACATGAGGCTTTGTGGGGATATCTAGATAGAAGCCATGACACTTGCTAAGTCAAAACCTTGGTACTAGAGACTTATGGGAATGCAAGAAGAGTCACACGTGTTTTCTGCAACAATTTTCTAATGTATATCTATTTATAGCCTTGATGTTTATATTTTTGGACCAAGATTTCCTAAAGCAGAAAAACTTTGGGGTAACTCTGCTGCTTCCCATTAAATTGCTTGTCCAAGCTGCTTAACCTTGTCTGATTTCCTCATCTGTAAAACAGGAATATAAATATACATTGACCTCCTTATGCCCTTGTGAGGATTGAATGAGTTCAGCCATGAACTTGGAAGAGTGCACAATGTAAGTAGGGACCACTGTGCATGAACAAGGAGCTTACTTAATTCAACAAATGAGATGCAATCATCTGCTTAACATTAAGAAAACAGCTAAATGAATTACATTGTACTCCTGATATGATACTATATTTTTTAAAGAAAAATTTCTGCCATAGGGAAATAGAATGTTAGGCTTTTTCAAAGCCAGGATATATAACTACACGTGGACTATGACTCTAACATTGATAGAAGGGAAGAAGAAAAAAGGAAGAGTATGGATAGAAATAATTTGTAAAAAAAAAAATGACAACAGTGGTTAAGGTGGTAGAATTATGAATGATCTTTATACCTTTCCTCCATTTCCCAATATCTTTCAGAGTAAGCATGAATTTCTTACATAATTTTTAAAATGCTATTTCCTCCTAAAAATTCTTGGCAGGATAACTTAAAGTGTCCAGAAACAAGTTCCCGAACCATAATAACTGCTCGGTTTACACAGGCGTGCCTCGGGATGCCAGAGGATGGAGCACTTTCTTTAGTGCAACCAGTGTGAGGCCTGTGGCCCCACCTAACACTCATAGCTCTCCCTCCATACTAATTTACATTTCTCCTTACACCTCAGTTGTTTCCTATTCTTTGGCCAAAGAAACCATATTTCCAGAGCACTAGTGTAACTCAGACTGTAACATAAACAGAACTGTGAAGATGCTTTAATTTTGTTTCAACGGTGTGGGGTTTGTTTCGGTTGTGGTTTCTTTTTTATTTCTTCTATGTCCTTTTCCCCTCCCTTTTCTCTCTTTCTTTTCCCTTTATCTTTGCTCTCTTCTTTCTTTCATCTAGCATATACAGAAAATATCTGTATATGTGCAAAAGAATATGAGAATTAAGTATGCTTTAATCTAAATACTCTAGGTACCTTTCATGGGCCTGTCAGGGTAACATCATCAGAACTGTGTACAGAGGACCCAAGGGTAAGCTAACTACCAACATGACAGACTCCGATGTTCTCACAGCTTCCCTCAACCTGCAGTTATTGTACACCCCTCCCTCTGCACCCTTTTTCCTACTCTTGCAAAGATTTTCTCAAAGTCCCTCAATACTAGTGCTTTACTCCAGGTATACAAAGTCATTTCAGTTGAATCAGACTTTTGCACGTTTCCCACCAGAGGACGCTCCTCTTCTCTCTCTCCTTACTGATGTAACTTTCCCCCTGTCTAACTTCCTTTCTCCATTCTCCCGCCCCATTACATTCCCGTCCACCTGTCAGTAGCAGTATAGTACAGTCTGTCTGGGACACTGATAAAAGGGAGACATGGCTGAAATAAGTTTTCATGTACACGACGGATACATCGTTGGATCTACTGACACTGCTAAAACCAGAAGGGAACCTTTCCTTGCAACACAGTGATGGGGTCCAACCCTATTAAACGGAGTAGGTCAAAGAGGTAGATAAATACCAGAATGCAAAGTGAAGATCACAAAACTGGGAAGCAGATGCTAACAAGAGATGTCCACACTAGCAACAAGTCTCTCCACGCTGGTTGCATCTCAACCCTCAGTGCACAGAGGGGGTGGGGGAGGGGAGAAGGTAAAGTGGGAGTAGCTATCCTGTTTTTAGCAAAGTAAATGTCAAGCCAAAACTGATCAGAAGAGAGAAAGGTCACTACATACTTGCACAGGGAACAGGTCAAATGGAAGAGATAACAAATGTGAATGTATCTGTATTGGACACCAGCACACTCAACTTCATAAAACAAATATTGTGGGGCATGGAGGTCAGAAAAGCATCCACAAAATCATGCCTGCACACGCCACCCTCACAAATAGATCAATAGACAAAAATCAACAAAGAAATAAAAGAGCTGAATCACACCTTCAAACAAAGGGACCTAATAGATCTACAGAACGTTTAACCCAACAGCATTCTTTACAGCAGCACATGGAACTTTCTCCAAAATAGAACATGTACTAGGTCACAACCCTTGCTTAAATAAATATTAAAGAATAAAAAATCCTATACATATTATAAAAATCATAGTGCAATGAATCTAGAAATCAATCACAAAAGAAGCTACAGAAATTAAGTAAACACATGGAGATTAAACATTACCCTCTTGGATTATCAATAGGTCACAGAAGAAATCCAATACTTTAGAATATAAAAAGATAATGCCAGATGGGGGATTTAGCTCAGTGGTTCTGCTGCTTGCCTTGCAAGCAGAAGGCCCGAAGTTTGATCCCTAGTACCAAAAAAAAAAAAAAAAAAAAAAAAAAGGTAATGCCATTACAACATTCCAGAATCTAGGGAAATTTTTAGCTTTGAAACCCACATCAGAAAAACAGCAATCCCAAGTAAATAACCTAATTATGCCCCCATGGACAAGAAAAAAAAAAGAATAATCCAAGTCCAAAATTAGTTCAAAGAAGTAAATTATAAAGACCAGAGCAGAAATTAATTAAATTGAGACTAAAAAAACTATACAATAAATCAACGAATCAAAA